GATTCATTTAGGTTTTGCTTCCTTAAAAAGTGACAAAGAGGATTGGCGTTGTTTAGTTCTGGAGGGTGGAGATATAAGGATGTTTATTATTCTTTCTACATTTAAAATTTCTTAAATACATTATGAAAAGGAAATAGTCTTAGAAAAGCAACAGGCACAGTATGAAACATCTCACTTATTCCTCTGTAACACCGAAAACTTTCAATTAAACTGAAGCGAGTTTCTGTTTGGTAGCTACAAATCGCTTTTCTGCCATATGACTGTTTTTCTTCTGGTTGTATTTATGGGCAGTGTGGTTGTCTTTTACCAATGTTGACTCCTAGGCTTAGCCACTGCTGCAGGTCAAACTTATATAAATCGTACAGTTAAAAACTGAAAAATTCAAATGTGTTGTAATCTCCAAAGAAAGTCTGCGCTAGGCCCTTTCAGGCTCTAAAAGACGGTACTCTGATTTCTCTCTCCATGAGGGCTGATTGTGATACCAGGCGAGGGAGTAAGATACAGGACACCATCTGCGGCTGCATCTTTGTCGCAGAAACAGACATTGTTCAGGGGACACCTGAGCCTCTGACAGTCAGACAGTGGCTCTGGCAGCTCACGGCAGCTATAGGGCGGCTGTGTCCTTTCCTAAGGTCCTGCCTTTTTATGGCCTGCAGTCATGGTGACTCCACTACCGGCTGTGTTTCTGTTGCTCCTTCCTGCCCTCAACCAGTCTGCCCACTGTGGACGTCTGCATTTCTTTCTCTTCTTCTTCTTCTTCTTCGTTTTTGAGACGGAGTCTAGCTCTGTCGCCCAGGCTGGAGTGCAGTGGCGTGATCTCAGCTCACTGAAACTTCCACCTCCCAGGTTCAAGTGATTCTCCTGCCTCAGCCTCCTAAGTAGCTGGGATTACAGGGGTGTGCAACCACACCTGGCTAATTTTTGTATTTTTAGTAGAATCAGGGTTTCACCGTGTTTGCCAGGCTGGTCTCAAACTCCTGAGCTCAGGTAATCTGCCCGCCTCGGCCTCCCAAAGTGCTGGGATTACAGGCGTGAGCCACCGCGCCTGGCCTGGGGTCTGCATTTCTGACCGCCCTGTCGCTACAGGGCTCAGGCTTCCTTTGGGCTGGTTACTGCAGCCACCCCCAGCTGCCCATGGGCCTCTGCCATTGGCCCAGATTCCCACGTGGGGTCCAGTCCATGGAAGTCATGGTAGTAAACTCACATGGCAGAAAAGTAATGGAGAATTTCAGAGGCCTACCTCTGGAGCACCAGTTCCAAGGGGTGCTTGACAGCCACAGCGGGCGGCTGCTCGAAGGGTGTTTGCCAGTTAGTCTTGCTAATCTAGAGCTTCCATTGTAACAGCCAACCTGAGTCTGTGCAAGATGGGAGTCAAATTGGAGACCCCTGACAGAAGCTAGAGTTCTCTAAGGGCTACATCATTGGCAAAAAAAATAACTTGGATCCCCTAAGTGGAGGGTCACCGGTGGGGGCATTGACTCCGAGTGGAGGGGAGGAAGAGTTTCTTTGAGAATTTGTAACCATAGAGCGATCCTCAAAGTTTCAGAGCTCAAATTCATACTACCTGTGTCATCTGAAAAACCCCCAAGCCAAGAATTCAGGTTGGTTCCTTGGTTGGTAGCGCCCCCAAGTGCCTGGCAGGAGCAAATTGCGTATCATCCCCAGAACAACATACCTGCAAACACAGTTAGATGTCCAGATTTTTGGCGCAACTTTGGATGAGCCAGAACCTCATATGGCAAAACAGACGTTGCAGATGTAATTGAATTAAGAATGGCAAGATGGGGAGATTGTCCTGGAATAGCTGGCTTGGCCTGATGTAATCGCATGGGTCCTTAGAGGGATAAAGGGAGGAAGGAGACATGATGACAGAAACAGGTGGGGCAGGGGTGGCTGGCTGTGGAGGGGGAAAGGGTCATAGCCACGGATGCAGGCAGCCTCTAGAAGCTGGGGCAGGCCAGGAACACATTCTCCCTGAAACCTCCGGAAGGAGTGCGTTCCCTGCAGACACTTTGATGTTAGTCTACTTGGGATTTCTGACCTTCAGAACTGTAAGATAATATATTTGTATTGTTTAAGCCACTGTTTGTGATAATTTGTTACAGTCGCAATAAGATACTAATGCTACTGCTTTATTGAGATAAATTTACATGTCACACAGCTGACTCATTTGACGCGTCCAGTTCAGTGGTTTTGTAGTATGTTTACAGAGTTGTGTCACTCAACATTTTCAAAGATGGATCAAAACGTACTACACAGTGGATGACAAATGAGCTTTGGATCGCGTGGTGCTCTTTGTTCCTGAATAATGCCGCTTAAGAGGCACAGTCTGCGTTCAGGGAAGCGTGCTGAGTGCTGTTGACGCAGAATCGCAGGACCCTGTAGGACCCGTGAGCGTCTGCATTTCCATTTTACCTTAATAGAGGAACCTTTCCTCATGACCCTTTTTGTTATATTTCCCTCCATGATGTTTCAAATATGTATTTGCTGGCACTTACCTTGGACCAGTTATTTTTTGATTTTAGGTATCTACCTTAGAAATCTTAAATTTCTAATCTGTTGCTAAGACACCTCACAGTACCCTATGCAACTAATAAACTTCCAGATGAACTGGCCAAGACACATATTTTGTTTTGTATATTTTTCACTAACTAACTTATTTTTGTTTTTCACTTGTTTGTTTTTTGAGACAGGGTCTCACTCTGTCCCCACGTTGGAGTACCGTGGCACAATCATGGCTCACTACAGCCCCCACCTCCTGGGCTCAAGTGATTCTCCCACCTCAGCCTCCCGAGTGGCTGAGACTACAGGTGTGCACCATCATGCCCAGCTAGTTTTTGTATTTTTTGTAGAGATGAGGTTTCACCATGTTGCCCAGGGTGGTCTCAAACCCGTCCTCAAGTGACCCGCCTGCCTTGGCCTCCCAAAGTGCTGGAATTACAGGCGTGAGCCACTGTGGCTGGCCTCACTAACTTTATAAGCCTCTAATTCAAGGAATTTGTTCTATATGGAATTTTAAAAATGCGGGCTCACTGGGGATGGTGGTCCAGGGTATTTGGTACTTAACACTGAGTTGTTTTGTGGGTGATAAGATCTGAGCAGGGATCAGTATGTTTGTCCTTATAATTCTCCAAAACAAGATAGCTGTTTTGTGGCCCTATTTTAAGATAGGTAGATTTTTTTTTAAGCTGATATATTATGAATCTTCCAAATTACTTATATGAGAAAAACTTCTCAAAGATTCTCTCCTTCCTTTAAAAAAAAACTTAGGGCCAGGTGCTGTGACTCATGCCTATAATCCCAGCACTTTGGGAGGCCAAGGCAGGAGGATCACTTGAGCCCAGGAGTTAGAGATCAGCCTGGGCAACATGGCAAAACCCCGTCTCTACCAAAAAGTATAAAAAATGAGTCAGGCGCGGTGGTGTGCCTGTGTAGTATCCGCTACTTGGGAGGCTGAAGTGGGAGGATCACTTGATCCCGGGAGGTCAAGGCTATGGCGAGTCATGATTGTGCCACTGCACTCCAGCCTGGGTGATAGAGCAGGATCCTGTCTCAAAAACCAAACCAAACCAAACAAAAAATCTAAACAACAACAACAATGACAACAACAAAACAAAACCCAAAAGCAAAAATATATTAAGAATTGTAAGATGCTAACAGCAGAGCAGTAAACCCAGCACAGGCCCTTCTGAGCATGGTGGCCCGGGAGACCACACAGATCACACGCCACAAAGCCCACTCTGCTGTAAGGTACCTTCTTCCAATCCTTCCATCCCAGGGGACTGACCCAAGGGAGAGGATTAAGAACCACTGGTTTCCAGCATGCCCCCCACCCTGCCCCCTGCCATGAGGATTGTTTCATTTTAAAATAAGTAATTAAGATTTTAAATTGTGGTAAAGTATATAGAATAAAATTTACCTTAATGTTTTGAGTGTATTACGCATATTTACATGATTGTGCTACCATCACCATCATTCATCTCCAGAATGTTTTCATCTTCTCAAATTGAAACTCTGTGCCCATTAAATCTTAACTCCCCATTCCTCAACCCCCAGCCCCTGGCAGCTGCCAACATTCTAGTTCTGTCTCTGTTATTAGTTTTTTGAGACAGAGTCTCACTCTGTTGCTCAGGCTGGAGTGCAGTGGTGCGACCATAGCTCACTGCAACCTCTGCCTCCCGGGTTCAAGCGATTCTTCTGCCTCAGCCTCCAGAGTAGCTGGGATTACAGGTGCACGGCACCACGCCCAGCTATTTTTTTGTATTTTTAGTAGAGACGGGGTTTCACCATGTTGGCCAGGCTGGTCTTGAACTGCTGACCTCAAATGATCCATCCACCTCGGCCTCCCAAAGTGCTGGGATTACAGGAGTGAGCCACCTGGCCTGGTCTGCCTCTATTATTTTGACTGCTCTAGATACCTCTTCTAGGTGGAATCACACAGTATTTTTCCTTTGTGACTGGCTTATTTCACTCAGCATAATGTCCTCAAGGTTCATCCATTTTGTAGCATGTGACAGAATTTCCTTCCTCTTTACTGCTGAATAATATTCTGTTGTGTGTATGTGCCACATTTTGTTTATCTGCTCATCTATTGATGGATGCTTATGTTGCTTCTAGCTCTTGGCTATTGTGAATAATGCTGCTGTGCACATGGGTGTACAAAAACCTCTTACAGACCCTGCTTTGCATTATTTTCAGTTTAGACCCAGAAGTGGAGTTGCTGGATCACACTGTGATTCTGTTTTTGGGACCTGCCATATCTGTTTTCCGTAGCGGTTGCAGTATTTCACAGTCTCACCAGCAGTGCACAATGGTTCCAGTTTCTCCACATCCTTGCCAACAATTGCTAGTTTCTATTTTTGGTGGCCCCTAATGGGTGTGAGGTGGTATCTCGCTGTGGTTCTGCTTTGCATTTCCCTGATGATTCCTGATGTTGAGATTTATTTGTTTTTAAATGCGGTATTGAATACTCACAGTGATCCTTCTCTCTGCCTTTCCAGAAAGGAGATGAAGTTGCTGGAGCAGGCAGGTGCTCTGAAAGGCTCCCTGAGTGCCGAAGAGCAACTGTCCCTCATCAGTGGCTGCCCCAATATCCAAGAAGCAGTAGAGGGCGCCATGCACATTCAGGTGAGTGAAGGGCACTGGGGCCTGAGACGTTGTCTCCCAGCCTCTCCGGAGGATACAGGGCAGTGGCAGGTGTGGGCATTTTGCATCTTCAAGGGCAGGATTTTATTTTATGTGATAGGAAATGTGGTCCTCAAAACGCCCTCTATACTGGGTTCTCATCAGACTAGTGTGACAATGTTCTGTTTTAGGAGACCAGTGCCTTGTCCGCGAGGCCACTGGGGATTCTGGTGACAATGTTGTATTTTAGAGGCATTAACAGTTTTAGCAAAAACAGGTTTTCTGGGCTGCTAATACTATTTTGTCATCTTATCAAATGAGAGATTATATTATTATTCTCATATATAATTGAGCAAAAAAGCTTAAATCATCAAAAAGAAAACTTTTCAGTTGCATGTAGCCTTTCCAACAACTTTACTTTAAAAAAGAGAAATCTTCGTGAGGGTTGTTTGCACAGTGGGATGAGCCTGGGGAGGTGAGTGGTCCCTCCAGGTGGAGCTGGGAGCAGCCCCTGTGGCTTGGCCCTCTTTCCAGGCATCCCGCTCCTGGAGCTCCTGTGCGCACGCACAGGCCCCGCCCTGTTGAAGAATCCCGAGGCATACCCTTGTCTTTTCAAAGGCTGCACTTACTGCTAGAAGGTTTATGCAAATTTACCTAAAACTAAAAGAGTCCTTATTCCCAGTATCTTTCCTTGATATTTTGTGTTCTGAGATCTGCAATTTTACGTTGTTGCTCTGTTGATATTCTAGCTGAGAATTTGGAAGCAAACCAAAGAGGCTGTGTGTGTTCTCTGGTCGGTTGCTGCTCTCAGATCTGGGTCAAATACAGAAGATGGAGGTTTTAGGTCTCTCTGACTCTAACATTTCTTTAAATTGTTAAATTTCTCAATTTGCTAAAAATTCATTAAACAAATGGGTGTGGCAACAGAACACAAGGAGACGACTGTTTTTCAACTTCTTATCTCTTTCTAATATATTATCCTCTATCTCCTGATACGGTGGAGTTTGTATGAAGTTGAAGGGCATTTAAAGAGACACGAGGTCTCCTAATGAGTTCCCAGTGACACCCGTTTCTGTTCTTACTCAGTTGCGGGTGCTGCAAGAGGAGTTGCTTCTGAAGAGTACAGACGCTCTCCAGGCCTGGTCTTGGCAGAGAAGTTTCTTTCACATGAATTTAGTTTTATTTTTTATATTTTTGAGACAGAGTCACTCAGTTGACTCAGGCTGGAGTGCAGTGGTGTGATCTCGGCTCATTGCAGCCTCCACCTCCTGGATTCAAGCGATTCTCGTGTCTCAGCCTGCGGAGTAGCTGGGGTTACGTGTGCACCACCACACCCAGTTATTTTTTGCATTTTTAGTAGAGAGAGGGTTTCACCATGTTAGCCAGGCTGGTCTCAAACTCCTGATCTTGGCCTCTCGAAGTGCTGGGATTACAGGCGTGAGCCACTGTGACCTGCAAGAGTTTAGGGGTTTTTTTGTTTTTGTTTTTTGTTTTTTTTTTTTGAGATAGAGTCTCGCTCTGTCACCCAGGCTGGAGTTCAGTGGTGTGATCTTGGCTCACTGCAACCTCCGCCTCCTAAGTTCAAGCGATTCTTGAGCATCAGCCTCCCAAGGCATGAGCCACTGCGCCTGGCCATGAGTTTAGTTTTTAAGGAAAGCATTTAGTTATATAATGTGATTGAAATACGAATAAGTGATCTATTATTATAATATTTCTACTTTCACATTTCACAGAATGCTTTTGTTCAAACTCTGGGCTGATATCTCCAACTTCAGCACGTTTGTCTTCATTACAGTCACTTTTTGAGTCTCTCTAGACAGAGTTCCCAGACCAGGTTACCTTTGCCTCCTGGAGATGTTTGCTATGCAGGGCTTTTTGAACCCATCTAGAATGCTGGCACTGCACATTTTATTCCCAGCCTCAAAGACTAATTCTCAAACATTTAGGTGTTTTTTCCTCTTGTAACTTGTGATTCCATCGCACGGCAACTTGCTGTGGTGTTGTTTTTTCTTTTTTTTTTTTTCTTTTCTTTTTTTTTTTTTTGAGACGGAGTCTCGCTCCGCCGCCCAGGCTGGAGTGCAGTGGCCGGATCTCAGCTCACTGCAAGCTCCGCCTCCCGGGTTCACGCCATTCTCCGGCCTCAGCCTCCCGAGTAGTTGGGACTACAGGCGCCGCCACCGCGCCCGGCTAGTTTTTTGTATTTTTTAGTAGAGACGGGGTTTCACCGTGTTAGCCAGGATGGTCTCGATCTCCTGACCTCGTGATCCACCCGTCTCGGCCTCCCAAAGTGCTGGGATTACAGGCTTGAGCCACTGCGCCCGGCCAGTTTTTTCTTTTAAAGAATCTTTCTATAGCTAATTTATAAATTTCCTGGCAGTGACAATTGTAAAGTCATTCCCTAGGAATAATTCATCTATCCATGTTAAATTTCTTTGTCTCCCCATCCCATTTTTTTTGATAGTTTATCATATGATTTCTATAAACATCAAAAACTACCCTAATTGAATTAGTTCTGGTTAATGTGTCTCCCTCAAATAGTATATTGTTTTTTACAAAGTGGTGAACCCTCCGTAATATGAGAACATTATCATAGACCTGGACAATAAGGCAAGTTTTTCTGCTAAAGAGTAATCTGGGGGGAATATGTGAACTTAGAAGGCATGTGAAGTGCTTACATGGTACTTGGCACACAGAAAATGCTCAGGAAATGGTAATTATTTTATAATGTGGCCATTTATAACAATTTTGGTAATAAAGAATGGCATGGGGCAGCATATGATGTTCTGTACATGGTTGGCACTGGTGAAAACGGCCCTTTGACTATGGCCTATCTTTATTTTATAGATTAAATGAGTGTATTTACAAAGCATGACATGTTGCGCCACATCTATTACGTAGAACACAGAGCCAGGCCGCATGAGGAGAGGAAACTAGAGAAGGATGATGTAAACTAGTAGGTTTAATTCCTATGAGAGTTTATACGCTTCAGAAATGGTTGTACCTCCAGTACCAGAGCGAAGAGTGGGTAGGAATAGTTCTGACCGGGAGTCTTCGGGAAGGTTTAATGCAGGTAGGATTAGAGCTTGTCTGGACTTTTGACGAGTAGATTTTGGGAGTGGGGGTGGGAGGATTGTGTCTCAGGAAGAGATGAACGAGACGAGAGATCCCTTTGAGGATGTTCTTAAGGCCACATGACAGACCCATTGGAAAGGTAGGAAAGGCTGGTCCAAGGTGGAAACCAAGTCAGCATGCTCTGAATACCAACCTGGAGAATTACTTAGGTGAATTGAGTCATATACAGTGCTTAGAGGAGTACATGAAGAGAAGCACCATTTAAGTGTTTCTTTAAAGAAATAAAGATGAAGGCTGGGCGCGGTGGCTCACGCCTGTAATCCCAGCACTCTGGGAGGCTGAGGTGGGCGGATTGCTCGAGCTCGGGAGGTCAAGACCAGCCTGGCAAACATGGTGAGACCTCATCTTTACTGAAAATACAAAAACTTAGCCGGGTGTGGTGGCATGTGCCTGTGGTTCCAGCTACTTGGGAGGCTTCTCAAAAAAAAAAAAAAAAAAAAAAAAAAAAAAAAAACATTGTGAGACCTGAGGAAAAAATAATTATAAAAAAAATGAACTAAAGGGTTTGGATTTCAATCTATGTCCTGATTAGAATCCTGCAAGGAGGGTATTTAGTAGGAGAATGAAATGAATCAGAAGGAAAGATGAGTAAGAAAAAAAAATCAATAGTTCATTTTTGCCAGTTGACTGATTTTCTTGGGCATGTTTACACATTTCTTTTCTTTCTTTTTTTTTTTTTTTCTTTGAGATGGAGTCTCGCTTTGTCACCCTGGCTAGAGTGCAGTGGTGTGATCTCGGCTCACTGCAAGCTTCACCTCCTGGGTTCAAGGGATTCTCATGCCTCAGCCTCCTGTGTAGCTGGGATTACAGGCATGTGCCACCACACACGGCTAATTTTTTGTGTACTTTTTTTTAGTAGAGATGGGGTTTCACCATGTTGGCCTGGCTGCTGTCTGACTCCTGACCTCTCACTAGAGTGATCCACCTGCCTCCGCCTCCTCAAGTCCTGGGATTACAGGCATGAGCCATTGCGCCCAGCCTACACATTTCTTTATATGATGTAGAGCAAATTTAATCCTCTGAATTTTAAAACTAGTGCATAGGCTGGGTGTGGTGGTCCACGCCTGTAATCCCAGCACTTTGGGAGGCCATTGTGGGCAGATTACCTGAGCTCAGTAGTTCAAGACCAGCTTGGGCAACATGGCAAAACCTCATCTCTACTGAAAATACAAAAAATTAGCTAGGCGTGGTGGTGTATGCCTGTAATTCCAGCTACTCGAGAGGCTGAGGCATGAGAATCACTTGAACCCAGGATGTGAAGGTTGCAGTGAGCTGAGATGAAGCCACTGCACTCCAGCCTGGGCGACAGACTGAGATCTTGCCTCAAAAACAACAACAACAAAACTAGTGCATGTTAGTGTCTCAGGTTTACCAAACAAACAAGTAAATGAAACCCCCAAATGCTGCACCACATGTTTGTTAAAGTACATTAGTGTTTCTAACAAAATATAATGTTAAACTTGTATCTTACCTAATTAAACATCTCTGTATTGTAAAGAAAGTTTAGGACAATCTTGTTTAGCTTCATTATTCCAAAAATACTTAAGATTTTTGTGTATTTATGTTTCCACTTCTCCTGTTTATTTTCTCTTTCTCTAATGCATTTGAGATTATACTGTAAATAGAATTTTGTATCATGGTTTTTATTTAAAACTTTAGAACATTTCCTGCTGTATGATTTGCTCAGGGTTATATCAGATAGAAGACATACAATTTTTTATTTTTATTTTTTTTGAGACAGAGTCAGTCTTGCTCTATTGCCCAGGTTGGAGTGCAGTGGCACTATCTTGGCTCGCTGTAACCTCTGCCTCCTAGGTTCAAGCGATTCTCGTGCCTCAGCATCCCAAGTAGTTGGGATTACAGGCATCTGC